CGATCCGATCGCCTCAAACTTATTTTCAAAGATCTTTGTTCAAATTCATTTGAGGGGTGTTTCACACTTTTTGAAAAATCCATCCCTCCTTGGTGCAAATGGGGGTCGAAGATTTGGTGGATGACGTATTGGGTTCAAATTTATTTCCAAAGATCTATAAGAAAAGTCATTTGAGACGTGTTTCACATTTTCGCAAAATCTAAACTCCTTCGGTGGAAAATGCATTTCAAAGTTTTTTTTGGTTAATTTTAAGTTTGTGGGAATCCCGTCCGATCATTTTCAAAATCATTTTCAAAGCTTTTTGAAAACATTGATTTTATAACATACGTGCCACGGGCAAGGCCGGGTTATACCCGCTAGTATACCTATAAATTGGAACGCCTCAAAGTTCGAATTGCAAAGTGAGATTGATGCTAACTGCTTGATGAATGTTAAAATTATATGTATTTAGTTATCTACACAGTACTGTTTCTTTACCGCACTCGCTTACACTAATTGCCAACAAATGCGCAAATCTAGCTAGACCGCTTGTTACAATAACTGCTGTGCAATGAATATATTGAACCTTAGAGTACCAATCTACCGACATGCAATCCATTTATCTATACACATATGCAATTACGCATACGCCTCATGTAGCGGGCAAATTGGCAGTGATTGTATCGCATTCCTATTGGCCAGCTCCATGCCAATTAATGACAGCTCTTAGCGGCGCCAAAAACTATGCATCATTTTTATGTTTTTATGGAGGTTGCGCTACGAGTTTAAGGGCGCAATAAACAAGCCGCCAATGGGCGAGTAATGCGCTGTCATTTTCGAGACGACTTGTCACTGCTCAAACATAAAATGTTATCTACATTAATTGACAGACTGGCAGATGGAGATGGCATTGCCGCCTGGCTTTGATTTGGTGCCTCACGCGAAAATGCCATTAAATTGATGGGTCGGCGTTCATTCCCGAGTGCCACGAAATTCACAGTTGACAAAAACAATTAAAAACGTTGTAAAAATGTTATGTGCAGGTCACCGTGGGTCTGGCTATGCAATTGGCAGTGGCTCTGAAGCTGTTGAGGCCTCGATTTGAGCTACGGCTTGCACCCGCTCCCGCTGCTGCTGCTGCGGCTGCTGCGGCTACTGCTGCTGCTGCTGCTACTGCTGTTACTGTGGTTGTTGCGCACGCTGTTGATAAAAGCAAACGGCACTTAAACGTGTCAACAATGGCCACGACAAGCACAGCCCATGAATTGACGAACCAAACAAAGAATGAATGTGGCATGCAGGGGAGCGGATTGGGTATACCCGATGGGCCAGATTTACAGCAATCAGTTTTATGCTGTTCAAGTGGCAAACGCTCTTTGTGATTGGCCTGACTGTTACCCCGCTACCCGCTACCCGCTAACCGTCACTCTCTACCCTGTACACCGCCCCCGCCGCCCACTTCCACTTCCACCACACATACCACACAGTTTTGCAATTAATTTCTGGCCAAACCAGCGAACTGTTTTTTTGTTGTTGCCATTGCCGTTGCTGTGGTTGCTATAAAAGTTAGATAAATTGTACGAGCATAGACAAAACTTTCGATCACGCAGCTACGCACGCTCTTTATAGTGGGAGGTGGTGCTAGCGGCAGGACACTGTGTGTGCGTGTGTGTATGTGTGTGGGTTGCGGGTGGTGGGCTTGGCGGGCAAGGTGAGGTGAGCCACCATCGCGGCTCTTGTCAGATTTTGAAGTGGCAGCAAGGGCAGGCAACCAAACCGAGCCAAGTGGAGCGACTGCCGATTATTTATAGTTGAGAAAGTTTTGTCATTTACGTTTGAAAATTTAAATTTTAATTGAGTTTTCTTGCTATGGCTCTCGCTGCTGCACCCGTTTGGCCCGCTGCTCCTGCTGCTCTATGTGCCCCGTTGTTAGAGATGGTCGGACTCTCGGGTTAAAATCAAAAAGTCAGGCAACTGGCCTCCCCATCCTGTACATGTTACCCACTGAGCCACAGAGTCGCGTTATCCCAGGTGTTTGCTTCAACTTCGCTTCATCTGAGTAAGATAAAAGCAGACTTGTCGAAATTGTTTTGTAAACTTTCCCAATACCCTTTAGTTTTCAGGCAGCAGAGCCCAAGCTAAGCCACGTTCAGGTAACATTACTTTAAATTTCTAGCTTACATATTCTTACAATTCTGAATCTATCTTTTGGATTGACATCTATTTTCTGCGCTTCTAAGAATCTAGATAAGAGTCCTTTAAGAAATCTGTTATCTGTTATCTTAGTCCGTCGAGAGTTTTTTTTCAGACATTGCCTTCCTGATTGATTATTGAAGATTCAACTTGTTTGCCGTCTCTGTGTCTTCTTTTTCTTTGTAGGCAGATCAACGTGCTTTAAATTTATAAAATCTTAATTTTGGTATTTAAATACACAAAAACACAGTTTTATATTTGAATTCAACTCTCTATGTGTTTGCTCTGAAAAATATGCAAATATCAGTACTCAAGTAGATATTTATATAAGCGTCTTATATACTACTAATGCCGTCGGAAAACGTATTATTTACTACAAATGCCGTCAGCAAATATTAGTTTCTTCTTCCTATGAACAGTATTTTCACAAATAACTAACTTACTAACTTACAAATAACTAAGTATTTAATAGTCGGTCAACCCTTTTATGTGCTCAACTTCGATGTTTTTCTGTTGACTTATCGGTGGCGACTGCACACGACAAATGTTTTGTTTCTTATATTCTTTTTGTTCTTGTTATTGTTGTTATTGTGAAAAACCACACTGCAAAAAATAATAGAAAAAAAACGCAAAATCAAAGTTCGAGTTGCAAACAGGCAAATTTGTTGTTTGTTATTGTGCCACAGGGTTCGCATTGTTGTTGTACAATTGATTGCTTTGTTATATTGGCAGCAATAAAATATGCGCAACTATGGATCATTTAGAGCAGCATATCCACTACACAGATAGATGGGTAATGAAAAAACAAAAGCGAAGCAAAAAGGGTAGCAACAAAAATATATAACTGCAATAAAGCAGCTAATAGACCGGATTAAAGTTGGCTGTGACAAAACAGCAGCAGGCGCATATTTGGCTCATTAAATTGATTCTTGTGCCGTTGCTGTTGTTCTTGTTGCTCGCAGTTAATGGTAAGCTAAGGAAAATTGCTGATGTGACTTTCTGTGAATTTCTGCTTAGACTCCGAAAGCAGCTAAAAAGCAAACGGCGTCCATTGACCGTAAGCCATAAAACACACGCGGCTCAATGCCAGCCCCAGTGACAAAGTTCACGTATCATTAAGGCATTTTCGGGCCGCACTGTGCACTAACAATAACAACAATAAAAAAACAGCATTGACAAATGCGACGACAGCAACAATAACAAGCAAGGGGTCAAAGGATACACATTTTAATGGGTGTTGCAAAATTGCTAATCGAAATTCTGGATATTAAAAATAAAGAAAAATAATAAGTGTGTAAAGGGTTATTTTCATCTATAGATAGCAGTTCATTAAAGACCTCGACCATTATTTCCAACAGCTTGTAAAACAAGAGGTTAATATTTTGATTCATTCAAATATGGATCACATATGCTTTTATTATCTAATTGACATCATCATGAATCATGAAAAAAACCAAAGCGAACTTATAAATCAGTTAAATTCTTGATTCGATTTTTGCAGTAGCAAATATTTTAAATAAATTTTATGTATTTATAATTTGGCTAATGAAAGAAATATTTTATATATATTTCAAAGTATACAAACTTTCTCGATATTAACTTCTGAAATTTCTTGTGCTTAAAATTGTGAAATAGTTTAAGCTTATTAATAATACGAATATTCTATGTAGAATTAGCCGCAATTTCTGCTGCAAATTAACAATCAACACGCAAGACCTCCAATACCTTAATATTAATCAAGTTTGTGCAGAAAGCATAAAATCCTGCATGCAATTCTCAAGGCACAGGCGTCAACATAGAGTGTCGTGTGGCCTGTGGTTGTTGCCATTGGTGTTGATGTTAAGGTTTATGTTGCTGTTGCTGTTGCTGTCATCAGTCGGAACATATTACTGAACAGAGAGCGGTTAGCAATGTGTGCAAGTTGCTATTGCTGTGGCAAAACGAAGCCGCAGAAACAACTCAAATCGCAATATGACACATATGCGAACGGGGGCAACCTAACGGCAAACCAAAAACCAAAACCCAAAAACTGAGCATTGCCAACATTGCAACGGTAAACATGCAAAATGCAGTTGAAAGGTGTTTGTGTGTGTGTGAGTGTGTGTGTGGGTGTGTGGGTGTGTTGGTGTGCGTGTTTTGGAGATCTCTTCTAGCGGCATGTTAACGTGCATTTTAACGAATGTTGACAATTACGAGAAATTTGGTTTTTTGGTTAAGCAGAATGCGAGGTAACTAGGCGTATGAGTGCTTTAAATGCGTATATATGTATGTGTTTGCGCTGGAATGTGTGTGGGTGTGCTGTCAGTGTCTGTGCTTTTTTCGAATGCCCAAAGTTTTGTTTGGAGTACTGGCATGGACAACTTTTTTTGGGCTGTGGCTCGTTCCAAAGCGGCAGAGAGCCCAAACAGAGCGATTGAAGTTGTAATGGAGTCGCTGGATTAACAACTCAAGAGCGTAACCAGAAAGAGTGGGAGATAGCGAAAGAGAGAGAGAGAGTGAGAAAATGGTGTGGAATGGCAGAGGGGAAGAGACAAAAAGCGAGAGGAAGAGAGAGGGATTGACACTCTAGGGCTTGGCTTAGGCAAAAATATGGGTAAACTCATATGAAAGCACAGCCAGCACACACAGCCGGGACCTCCGCCAGCCGCACTCAAAAACAGGGTGATCCCCAGGGCGCAGGCGCTGCGCAGCATCTGCGCGATGCTGGCGACAAAGCTACAAAGCAGCGCCACAACGGAGGCTGGCGTCGCAGTCGCTGCTGCTGCTCCGTTGAGAGGGCCACGACAGGCTACAAAAACAAAACGCACATCAGTACGAATCCTGTGAATATCTATGCAGGACACAACGGAGCGAACTACGTCAAACTGTCAAGCCACAAGTGAAAATTAAAAAGAACCTTTCAATTTAATGTTTAAATATTGCTAGGCATGTGCATAAAACAATCAATAACTATTGAGCTTTTTTTATTTATTTTGAAAAATGTTTAAATTATAAGAGTTGCTGCGTTGCCCAAAGAAACTATATTTAATCAATCGGAACGCAAACAAAATCAGCTGCATGCCTGCAGCTCAGAGCTGAGAACAACAACGGCTCTGCTCCAACTCAACTGCTCAGCTGCTGCCGCTGCTGCCGCTGCTGCTGCTGCTGCCAACGCTGGCATCGCTGTCACTGCCACAGCCTGCGTGAGAGTGCGCCTCTTCTGAGTTGGCGCTGGCGCTGCGCAGCTGTCCGTCGAGTGTAGACTTATTGCGTGCCAGTTTTAGTTCCACGCAAGTACTAAAACGGAGAAACAATCACAAAAAATATACAATTCTCTCCCAACTGCGTCACGCACGCCAGGCAGCCGAAAGGTAAACAAAAACCTGTGCGCGTGTTTTAGTATCAATAAAACACCGGCCAAAGCGCCTTCAAGGCAACTGAGGCAGCTGTGACGTCATGTGGCGCTGGGCTCGGCCACGTCTGGCGCTGCTGCTGGACATCTGGCGGCACTGCAAGCTACTCTGCCTGCTGCTGGCCTTTCTGCTGCTCTTCTGTGAAACGGTGCAGGCCAATCCGGACGCGAAGCGTCTCTACGATGATCTGCTGAGCAACTACAATCGCCTCATACGACCCGTCAGCAATAACACGGACACGGTGCTGGTCAAGCTGGGACTGCGCCTCTCGCAGCTCATCGATTTGGTAAGTCAATGATGTGTGGCAGGCCCCAAGCACTCTCCAAATAATTAATGCAATTGCCAAACTTGGACGGGCCCCACATTAGTGCCCAGCCAAAGCGAGCTGAGTGCCCGGCTCTGGCTCTGGCATGGTTCTTTTTTAATTAAGCGCTTCAATGGAGCACTCGGGCAACGTTGCGCTACATTTGCCAGCGCCATTTTATTAAGTTCGGCGCAAAATGTAAACAGCCAAACAGTTGCACTAAATTTTGATCGTAAATAAAATAAAGCAAGTAAGAAGTGCCCGACTAGGGGATACCCTGAACCTTCTTCTACCAACAAAATGCAGCTCACAAACGCGCTCTTTTGCCTTTAGTAGGTACGTAAAGGGATATATATACATATACACTCTTAAAAAATAAAGCTAGGCCTCCTCCTGCGGGTGTCGAACCCGCAACTTCCCTTAAGCGACCGAACAACTTGCCATCGCCTCATACCTCCCAGTGATACCAAGATTTGAGTTTTCAAAAAAAAACACCCTAGAGTAAAATAACAGCATATACACAGAGCAAAGCATATGAATGTGTGTGTGTATACAGTAGTTGATGCATTTGCTGCCACGTGGCTTACCAATATAATCACATGTTTTCTTTAAAAGCTTCTGTGTTTTTTAACCGATGTTAATAACATATTCAGCAATAAATCTTATAATGCTATAATATTCGTATAAAGACAACAGCATTAAAATTATGGTCTTATTTGGTGGGTAGCTTAAGTTGATTAGTTTATTTGATTTTTCGCGATGGGAAATGGCGGCAGCCATAAAATTCGAGATACTTGACTCGATTATTGATGCTGACCAAGAATATATATGCTTTATGGGGTAGTTGATGCTTCCTTCTGTCTATTACATACATTTGCACAAAACAATTATACCATTTTTACTCAAATCAAGACAGATAATAAACCGAATGAACGCGTGGTATCTGACACCTGCTATATTGAAAATGTTAGGGTATTTGAACTATGTATACAGCTATTACTTAATTGATTCAATTATTGTTGCAAATTATTTAACTCAGTGAGAATAGTTATAACGCAATAACATATACAGTGAAATCTCTCTTTTTGACCACTAAAGAGGAGTGCCCGGCCAATAGAGGGGTATGAGTATGATAAGAGAAAATGTTTGCCTAATAGGAGTGTCCGTTAAAAGGCTTTTCACTGTATTTCAATTTTGGAGAAAATTTGTCCTAACCCAAAAGGATTTAAATTCTAAAAAATCATTCTTTTTAATTTAAAGTTTAATTTAAACATAAGTCTTATTCAATTTTATTTTTAACTTTAGAACTCTTGAAATTTTTATAAATTGGTGAAAAATATATTGAAGTTCTGCCTTAAGAAGTCGGCTGAAGCTAATTTCCAACGGAAATTCAGAACATTTGTGATAAGCTTACGCAAAATATAGAAAAATTAATAAAAACTGCGCTTCAAGAAAAGTAAAATAAACTAATGCTCGATGTATCCTTTCACATCCTCATTTACCAAATCAATCTATGGAGTTGAACAATTTTTTTAGAGAAAAACGCAGCTGGGAATATGCATTTTTATTATATTTCGAGACGATTCGAAAATTTGTGAAGCATAGAAACTTGGGTAGAAAATAAGCTATTTGAAAAATTGGTCAATTATTTTTTGCTCTTTGATTCCGATTCCACATCGAACAATTAAAGACAACGTACTTAAGGATTTCACTTTAGCTCTTTAAATAAGTTGGATTTCTAAGAAGAATAATGAGGCGTCACATTACATAGAAAACTGATTGCTTGATGATATTATGCACATTTCTCAACAGCCTGACACTCAATTTATAAAACATTTCAGCGCGAATTCATTGTATTTTAAGAAAAATAAACTATTTTATAGTTTAGGGCACGCCAGCTTAAAGTTCATGGCGGTGCATTTGTCAAATGTCCTGTGCCGCCGGAGGGGGAAACGCACACACACACTGCAATTACTGCAGAATACTTTGCTGGGTAAGAGGAGGAGGAGGAGGAGGGGAGCAGCACAAAGTGCCGCTACCACGAGGCTTAAAAGGTAATAAAACAAGCCAAAAATCCAAAAACCCTAAGCTGACAGCAAAAAGCACATTAGCGGCAGGGCAGAGGATGCATGTTTGGTGGCGTCAGAGAAGGAAGAGTTGGCACGCAAGCAGACATCCAGCCAAACAAACAGACAGACCCAGGGACACATAGTCGTTGTAGTTGCAGTGCAAATGATGTAGGAGGAACAGTAGCAGCCGCAGCAGCAGCTGCTGATGCTGATGCCTGTTCCTGCGGCGGCAAGGAGTAGAAAAAAATGCAAATCCCGCTTGATGCATGGGCATCCTGTGTGCAGTTTTTTATCTAGTAAAACGTCGGCTTTAATTTTCACTCGCACACAGAATCTCAAAGATCAAATTCTAACAACCAATGTGTGGCTGGAGCATGAATGGCAGGATCATAAATTTAAATGGGATCCATCCGAATATGGTGGCGTCACCGAGCTCTATGTGCCCTCCGAGCACATTTGGCTGCCCGACATTGTGCTATATAACAAGTGAGTCCACTCAGTCAAAGTTAAAACCATTTTTTGGACAACAGCCTGGCGTTTAATCTGTCGCAGCGCCGATGGCGAGTACGTGGTGACCACCATGACAAAGGCCATTCTACACTACACGGGCAAGGTAGTGTGGACACCGCCGGCAATTTTCAAATCGTCCTGTGAAATTGATGTGCGCTACTTTCCCTTCGATCAGCAGACGTGCTTCATGAAGTTCGGCTCCTGGACCTACGATGGCGATCAGGTATGTCTACCCCATACATTTTTATATATAAATATAGCTCAGTGTTACCGTAATGGGGCGTGGCATAGGATTTATGGCCGACCATTTATATGAGCGTAGAGCGCGCGCTTACAAGCCTAAGATGCTGAGCGAACATCGAAAGGGCGTCGGCTGCGCTGCAGATTAAAATGTGAGAAATTGTAAAAGTATAATTGAAACTTGTCTAACCGTTACCGTTACGCACACCCCAATGCCAGTGGCAGGAATAGACTGTGTGTGTCCGCTGTCATAAAAATGCGCGGCCATAAATTAAAGCAAAGTGCGACTCCGCCAGAAACCATTCCCGTTTCCGGTTCCGCTGACCGGACCTCGCACAGTGGCCTTATTATTGAAAATATAACAGCAAAAAAAGCGACCACACAATCATTATTTATTTATAGTAGGAGCAATACATGACGATAAAAAGTAAAAAAATATAAAAATATTAACGAAGTGACAGAGAAGAGAATAGTCGACGAACGCGTAGGAGGAAAGCTTTTATTATATTTATATGACGTATTATTAGAATGAGTAAAGTACACTTAATTCCATTTCGGTCCGTTTGAAGGGTAGGACTAAGGAAGCTTTTTTAATCTTAAAATTTCCAAACTGTTGTCTGTTAAGTTAATCAACAGATGGTTTTCTTATTTCTACACACGGTTGACATTCTTAGTGCAGAGTCTAGCAATACACACCATCCATTTCTTAGAAGATATCTTATATTCTTTATTCTGTTGACATCGAAACCGACTATAACTTAACTCATTTTGAAGTGGCGTTAATGATATGTTCTCCACTGTGCGACTTAGTCATTGTCAACGCATTTAATTTTGCCACTCTTTTAACGACTGCACTTGAGCCTCAACTGGAAGCAGCTCAAGGCGGAGGCAAAGATGTCGCCGGCAGACGACTACAACGATGTCAGTAATGATGATGCTGACGGTGACGGTGACTGTGACGACAAGAGAATGACTTGGACGTGGCTGATGAGCGTCACGCCCGCCGGCTTAAAGTGCCTTTAAGCTTTATGCATTTTATTACTCTTTCAATGCCGTTCTTTTTGCAGATCGATTTAAAGCACATCAACCAGAAGAACGATAAGGACAATAAAGTTGAGATTGGCATTGATTTGCGCGAGTATTATCCAAGTGTCGAATGGGATATATTGGGCGTGCCCGCTGAACGCCATGAGAAATATTATCCCTGCTGTGCCGAACCCTATCCGGGTGAGTTTCGTAGAGTTTAAAGCTCTTACTTTGCTCGCTGGCACGCCCACGCGAAAGCTCTACCCAAACTCACTATGCAAACCCCCAACCCATACCCAAATCCATGCTCCTTGGCTCTCTCTCTCTCTCTTTCTCTCTTTCGACTTTTGTTTCTTACTGCACTCGCTGGCTCGTGCTGAATGTTCAGACATATTCTTCAATATAACGCTGCGACGAAAGACACTCTTCTACACGGTTAACCTCATCATACCCTGCGTGGGCATCTCCTACCTTTCGGTGCTGGTCTTTTATCTGCCCGCCGACTCTGGCGAGAAGATTGCACTTTGCATCAGCATTTTGCTCTCACAAACTATGTTCTTCCTGCTTATATCGGAAATTATACCATCAACTTCGCTGGCTCTCCCGCTGCTGGGCAAATATCTGCTCTTTACCATGTTGCTGGTCGGGCTGAGCGTTGTAATAACAATCATTATACTCAATATACATTATCGTAAGCCCAGCACACACAAGATGCGACCGTGGATACGCTCCTTCTTCATCAAGCGGCTGCCTAAGTTGTTGCTAATGCGTGTGCCCAAGGATTTGTTGCGTGATTTGGCCGCCAATAAGATCAACTACGGCTTGAAGTTCAGCAAAACAAAGTTCGGCCAGGCCCTCATGGATGAAATGCAAATGAACTCTGGCGGTTCTAGCCCCGATTCAATACGCCGCATGCAGGGACGCGTTGGCGTCGGCGGCTGTAACGGCATGCATGTGACCACGGCAACCAATAGGTAAGTTCTAATGTACGAAGGTGGCCCCAGAAAATTATACAGATGCATAGAATACCAAAAGTAACGTTCAGCTAGATTCAGAGCGATTAAATATAGACTGAGAGTTTCGGATCATGACCGGCATTAACTCCGTGATGGGACAGAATATTAAATGTATATTTCCGGTGGGAGTAGTTCGGGCTGTGCAGAATCAAATTTTATTTTCCGTGCCCATCTCTAGTACAGACCCTATAGTATCGAAGATATCCTCTTTGGTCTGCTAAACACATTTAATGGCACTAAATGTGGAGAATATGGAGCATATTACAAGGAAAATTATATTTATAAAGCAGGCAAAATGAGAAGTAAGCATGGGAATGACAAGTAGACAAAAGCTTGTAGATATTAAAAGCTTAAATATAAAGGAAACCAAAGAAGTGAAAAGTGAAAAAAATATATATATGTGTGAGTTAAAATTAGAAGTCATTTAATATATAATGAAGAACGGGTCGGTGAAGCAAAAGTATTTATATATAATCCTGAAAAGACTTGGATAAACGATATGTTCATTTCCGTTTTGAGCTTTCCCTTAAATTTGCACAAACATAAGTGTAAGCCGGCGCACGTTCGTGTTTCGTTATATAGCCGGGTATTAACCTTCTCTTGCAGATTCAGTGGCTTGGTGGGTGCTTTGGGCGGTGGCCTGAGCACACTGAGCGGGTACAACGGACTGCCATCGGTGCTTTCCGGCCTGGATGACTCCATGAGCGATGTGGCGGCACGCAAAAAGTATCCGTTTGAGCTGGAGAAGGCCATACATAACGTCATGTTCATACAGCACCACATGCAACGGCAGGACGAGTTCAATGCGGTAAGTTCTGCTGCAGCTGATTGAATTTTTAATTGAAAATTCCTTTTGGCCGGAGGATGACGACAACGACACCAACAATGACACCAACACCGACAGTGACAGCGACAGCGACAACGACAGCAACAACAACGATGACAGGGGCAACGATGGTGTTGGTGCTAGAGCTGGAGCTGGAACAGTAGCGGGAACTTGAGCTGCATATGGCTTGACCATAGCCAAAAAACCACAGAAATCGCTTTGCGCGTCCGTTCCTGCCATTTGCAGGATCGATGTTTGCCTATCGATGTCCGATCCGCGCAACCCTTTGACTATAGGACTAGCCAGACCGTCAGACAGCAAGTCTCTCGCTAGCTCTCTCGTTATCCGTACTTTGTGTCGACTTATTTAAGCTTTGCCATAGTTGCACTTTAAGACCACACGAAATCCAGTTTTAATTGCTTTTGTTCAATTGACTGGCAATTGGCTGGCAAAGACTCCATCCATCGATTCAATCAAATCCGACGCCCAACTCTTTGTTCTCTATTTCTGGCGCTTGTTTTCAGGCTTTTTTGTGTATTTGCTTTACTGGTTGGTTACGTTGGTTTTGCTTTGTTATTGGAAGTTTCATTTTGATTGATAACCAACTGGCGCTGGGCATAAGCAGATTAAGCGTCAGTGCTTAATGAAAGCAATCACTCAAAGTGTGGGCTTAAAGCGTACTGTAGTTACCCAACATTGCGCATACGACCCTTTGTGCAATTAATGCGCTCAATTCTTGCTCTTACTCTGCAAACAATTTTTTTTATACATTTTCTTTTTGTTTAAGCATCATCAAAATTATATTTAAATGTGCTCATTTGTGAAAATTATATTTGGTTTATTCAATAACAGGAAGATCAGGATTGGGGCTTTGTTGCCATGGTCATGGATCGCCTGTTTCTCTGGCTATTCATGATTGCCTCGCTGGTGGGCACATTTGTCATACTGGGCGAGGCACCTTCCTTGTACGATGACACCAAGGCAATCGATGTGCAGCTCTCGGATGTTGCCAAGCAAATCTACAATCTAACTGAGAAGAAGAATTAAATTCAATAATGCAATCCAAAATGGTTAACACTATCTAATGACATGTAATGCCTGCATTATGCGATCCCTAGTTTAAAGTATGATTTAAATAAATTACTAATAAAAAAATAAAAATAATGTTTTTCCAAAGCCGCCAAGCAATATGCTAAAATGCATCTTTGGTTTTTGGCTTCGTGTTAGCAGCTGGCGCGCTCTAATGCATGCCAGAGAGGCTTTCAGTAATGTAGAAATAAATTATTATCTGCAGCTCGCCGAACTTTGCATACACTAGCAAAGCCCTACTATTTAGCTGATGAAATCAACCGTTTTGAAAGGGCTGCAGCACTCTCTTTGCTGTGGTAACAAAATGTTGTAAGACTTTGTTAAATTGCTGGCAGCCCCCAACTGGGTTCAAGCTGTCGTTGTTATTGCTCATATTGCTGCGCATATTCAAAGTATTTGCCTGGCTGGCATGTGGATGGCTATGCGTTGCCCCTTACATCATATATGCAAAATGAACCTTTTTGAAAATGCGCAACCAACGACGCCAACTCATGTGGAAATAGCTAGCAAGGCTACTGGAAAAGCCAAAGATTGTAAACAAAACCGTACCGCACAGGCCCAACTTTGACAGTGTCTCAAAAAGTCAAACAAGAGCATAGAAAAGTCGCAGTTTGGTGAAATGTGGTCTTTTTGTATTTCAAATATTTTTATAATAGTCATGCACACAATTTGTTACCCAAGATGTAAGGTAACCCAAGCTTGGGTATTCTAAATTTAAAATTTCTTTAAAAATAGTATTTTAGGTGTTAAGCAAAATCTAGTATTTTTGATTAATTTTTTTTTTAAAATTAGCTAGTAACTATTATTAAATTTACATAAATCCTTGTTGAGGGTTCGCTCAAAAGCTAGATTACCTAGAACTTAAAATAATTTTTGATTTGCAAGTAAATATTTTGTTATGAAAAACACACTTTTATTACTTTGTAGCAAAAGAAATGATAAATGGAAAGAATTTAAAAATACATCAAAAAATGTGTAGCTCATCTTATACTGTTACAGCTTATCCGAACGCTTATGGAACGGCTGCTTCAAAGCACATATTTAGTATTCACGGAGAACTGGAGGAAAGTGTTCAGTGTTTCTGCATTTACATTGCTGCTCATTGTTGACGGTTGCCCCAGAGGCGACCCCTTAAAGTATGCAGCAATCAAAAAATATCTGCACAACTATTTGCTAAAACTGCAAAACTATTTCTATACAAATGTCACAATTTCTTTTCGTCCTTTTCTGTGAATGTCATTCAAATTGATGCGCAGCGCGTGGCAAGCTGAGGCAGGCCGAGGTGAACTGTGGCAGGCAGCATGCCACCCAATAACTATTTTGCAATGCCAGCAGCCGTTGCCTGTCAATGTCAGTTTGCGAGCAGCAATCGCAATTTCTTATGTATCAGCAATTGTGAGGCAACAACAAAGCACAAATTGTTGAAGCAAAGACTATGACTGAGCTCAACAAGTAAGTTTAAAAAAAGAGTACGAGTACGAATGCGATTGCGATTGCGATGGCGAATACTAGCACGAATACGCGTATCCACTCTGTGTGCACATATATTTTGCATACATTTGCCACTAGCAACAATCACTTATCGCACACACTCGCTCAATTCACTCATTCATTCATTCGTTCAGTCATTCATTCAGCACCGTGTCGTGTTCCGTGTTCTGTGTTGCGAACTCGGCTCTCACTCCCCTGTCAAGTTGACAAGTTAAATATGCTACGCGGGTCCCACCCAACCCACTTTGACTGCCTCACTAACGGACTCCCTGACTGACTCCCTGGCTGACTCCCGTACTGACTCCCTGGTTGACTTTTGCCAGCTTGGCACATATGTGCGTCATTTTTGCTACTTCCCGTCTACTTTTCACAGTTCAGCGAGCAGCAGCGCTTTTTATTTTCATTTCTTAGCTTCAATTTAAATTCATATTATTTGTGCTTCACATGTGCACACACAAAGTAACGCAAGGACCAACACACACACGCACGCACACACATATGAAGAAATATGAAAAAAAAAATGTGAAGCGATAAAAATAGCGCTCCTTGGTTATAATGAAACCCAAATGCGCTGCATACACATATGGAATTAAAAAAACTAAAATGGAATAAAGGAAAAATTTTAAATTTTTGAATGAGTTTTGAATGTTGGATGTCAAACAAAATTCCGCAATAAATAAATTATTTTCGAGAAGACATGAGAAAATTTCTTGTATACTAAATTTTTAATTATTTTGTATTCGAAAACTTCAAGGCAATTGCCACCGATATTATATAGGAAGATTTTCTAAAATGAATTGGTTTTTGTGTGTACTGATATGTGTATACTCAGCAAAAATATAACTGCAAATGATAAGATTGCCATTTTCATGTTTAGTAGATTTCGCAGCTTGCCGGAGAGATAACTTACCTATCGCTTTTTAATCTTCCATTAGAGAAGAAGGGTCGCAGTCGCAACAATTTTGGGCGGTAAGAAAGCATTTGAAGAAGAGATATACAATTCAGTCAGTGCTCTACACAATTAAATCCTTGCTCAAAAAAGCAATAGGCGTTGTCTAGCCTCTAAAAAATGTAATTTCATGTGGAACTGTATCAATTTTTCGGTACCGTAGATAAAATAGCGATATGGAGATGTTTATAGAAATGGACATGTGAATATCGAGAACGATCTTCTATTTTTAAACATATATTCGCCCCGTCTTTCTAAAGACAAATAACTGTAACATGCACACATACTTTGTTATATAAAATTTAAATATATTATCCACATATTATAATGAACGCAACTTCAGCGTTTACTCTTTGTGATAACCCCTATTTTATAGCGCTCATTTCTATTAAGCACTCTGCGCAGTAATATTTCATCCTCTCGGCATTTACATCAAAAATTTAAGTGACTACCAAACGACCCATAAAAATCGTGGGACCCATTCTGTGCAGTATTTACCCTACAATGTGCTCTGAAATTTTGTTGCATTTTATGTGTGTATTTATATATTTGGTATTTATTTCGATTTATTACTATTCGAATTCAAGTTTTTGACGCTCGAATTTTTGTGGACATATAATTCATAGCATACTTTTTGGCATGCAATTTAATTTCCCGCCGACGGCGAGAGTTTGCAATTCGTTTGATTTACCATTTATTTATGCCGCTTGACAAATTCAATTTTATTTCCAAATCCATAATTTTTGCAGAGACCTTTGGGCTCACAGAATTGCAGTCACAATATTCAACAATTTTAATGCAATTTCTGAAACGGTCAACGGTCAAGTTGACAGCCAGCTTTTCGCAGCTACTATTTTCTGGCGGCATGAGGAAGCCATAATGTAATGTAATTAACATTGCTTTGCAGCTGAAGGCTGACTGGCAGCCTTTTAAGCTGCACGTTGCTGTAGTGGGGCACGCCCACTTGCAGCCCACACGATTAGGGCGCGCGTGTCACTTGTCTAATTTTATCGCAAAAACAATTTGTCGCGCTGTTGGCTGGCAAAAAGTTCTTGCTGATAGCATTTTCCGTCTTGTGGCAAATTCTCCAACGATTAATAAAACTCAAAGAGTGCAGCAACTAGCAGCATTTAATGCAGCCTCCGCTATGGCCCAGTTAAAACTTAAACTGAATTCTGAATTCGGTGACATGTCAGAACTTTGTGGCTGTCATTTATTTATGAGTTGTTCGCTCGTAAAGTTGCTGGCCCGTACACACACACACACACACAGCACACGCACATACAGATCACATCCAATTAGCATATTAAATTAAATAAATATTAAACTAACTGCGGTTGCCCACCATACTGACAAACTCATATATACACCCATATTACTTAAATGACATGCAGTCCGCCGCTTTCAATACCTAAAATGATCAACCACAAGCACACACAAGCACACACAAGCACACACACACACACACACACACACACACATTGGCAGACTGTCATGCATTTAGTCATTCACTCATCAAACATCAAACTCGTCCCACACCCTCAGCTTGTCTCTATGGATTACCTGTTAGCCCAGACCAGCCCAGCCCCTTCGCCCATCATAATTTATGCCACTCATCTTAATAATTTTGGGCGCAAAACTTTCCCAACATGCATCGACATTGGCAGAGGCAACTCAAATATTTAAAATATTTACCTAGCGAGCACAAAAGCTCCGGCTTGGACGAGGCCTGGAATTTCATGTGTGCTTCGTTGTGTTTTATCAGATGGACTGGCTCCAAACGCTTTAAAAAAAAAAGAATTTAGAAGTTTTTTGAAAATCAAACTCAATTTAAATTGGTTTATTTTATTATGTTTAATTTTGTTTATTTATTTTTATTTTATTTTTTATTTAGAATTATACTAAATGACATTGAAATATAAAATGTAAGCCCCGATCAAAATCTAGTTTTATTAATACAAAATATTCATTATATGCATACGGAACCAGTTCGAAAATTCCAAATCTAGCTCAAATATATTTTATATTAACGACATTGGGGTAAAAAGAAACTTTTCTCAAATGTTTCATTTAAAATAATTTTCTCAAACTCATTATTGGAAGTATTTTACACATTCCGAACCAATTTAAAAATCAAGTTAAAAACAATTTTTGATGTTCCCAAGAGTCACAGATCAATGAAAATGTTTTCAAAACTATTTATATATAATTTGGGGAACCAATTTATAAATTTACAGAACTGAATCAAGTTAGTTGTTTCATCTGTCGCGACCCCTGTTTTAGCTAATTCTGTGCATCCCTGGCATGGTTACCTTCGCCTTGGCATGTTACATCAACTTCGTCGACGACACATCTTGTCACCGACAAGCACACACACTCACACACACACACTCACACACACACACACACACTCACACACCCACACACACACACACACACACACACACACATATTTGCATGCACATAACTGGAACGCCCCATGCGGCGGTTTTGCTGTTTGTTTTAGTGCCAATGTAGCATAGTTTTATGCATATCCTAGTAGTCCTGTGTGCAGCATCTTTGGTATGGCATAAATTTGAGCTACATTGCTGTGCTGCTGGCTG